ACCATCGACGACCTACCGACGCCGCACAATATTCTCGGTCGCCTGCCGTGAGGGGAATACAAAGAGAAAATCTTGACCCCCAACTGGTCAGATCTCCACCTTCCTCGAAGAACTCCACCATCGACCAACCCACTCTGTCATAATGAAGAACCCATTTCCCTTAGCCCTCACCACACCCACTTTCCCCACCAAAGCCCTATTCAGCAAACCAATCCACCCATTCTCCGCCACAGCAAGAATCGGACCCAGATCAGCCACACTTGGCACCACCGTCCTTTTCACCACTAGTGACCCCGCCACTTGGCCAGCCTTCGCAACCCAATTCTCTCCTCGGGCGAAGCCCTCAATAACCAATGCCACACCCTGCCAACCATCCCCAAACTCCGACACGGGGATAAAGACCTATTGCCTTCTACCATCATTCGTAACCAGAATCTGAAACAATGTCCCGCCATCCTCCTCACCACGAATCCAAATCGCCGAACTCCACTGCTTGCCGTCCAAATGACCCAAGAAAGATTGGGTCCATATATTGTCGAAAGCCAACTGCAATTTGGTAATGACCTAACCCACTTCGAAGCCAACCAAAACCACATCTCGCCATAGGCCGGAACCACGCTCCACAACACCCAACCTCCGATACCCCCTCTGATCCACTGTCTCCTCCTGGAACTTGAAGGATCGACCACCAAGGAAAAGGATCCGACACCGTGGACCGGTCTCCTTCCCCACCTGAAACATCCCAGGTAAGCCTAACACATTATAGAATTAAATCTAGCAACACATTATATTTTGGGTAAATTTGTGGACAAATTTTATAGTTTCTTAACTTCTATTGCCTAACAAGGGGGGTTTCTTAACTTTTATTGCCTAACAAGAGGGGAATCACAATTGACAATTAAATTTTGGTATGGGATAAACTTTATTGCTTGCATTCATCTTTTTCTTGCTGATCTGGAAAGATCTTATAGATCAGTAGACCAAGCTCAAATTGCAACCAATAGGGGTAGAATTTTAAAAACCCATATCGTAATTCTCAAAGAAATGGTACCCTCAATTTTTAGTTTTTTTTTTTAAAATTAAAAAATTCAATTATTTATTGCACTTTATATCTATACATACCTCTCATTGCACTTCAAGCTCTTCAGCTCCCTTCTTAGCTTACATTGAAAAATCAACAATGACATCCTTAGCAATGTCTCCTTCCAAACAGTTCCTTTCTTTTCCAGTCCGGTTTATCTTTCTCATCATCCTTGTGCTGGTCTCTTCTTCCCATTTTGCTGCTTTTGCTTCTTCTCCAACTCCAAAAACAGAAGTAGTGGCTTTTTTAACGTGGAAAGCGAGCCTTGACAACCAAAGCCAATCTCTCTTATCATCGTAGGTTGGAATCAACCATTGTAATTGGGTTGGAATTCGTTGCAACAAGGTCAACAATGTCACCCATATAAACATTACGAGTCATGGTTTGAGAGGTATGCTTTCTAGTCTTAATTTCTTGTCCTTCATTCATCTCCTCAACCTCCAACTTTTTGACAACTCACTCTATGGGAACATCCCTTTCAGCATTGGGAGCCTTTCAACACTCATATCTTAGGTTGGCTGCCAATAATTTGTCTGGAACAATTCCACCTGAAATAGGCAACTTGACGAAATCTCAAGATCTTGTACATGTATAGAAATAAAATCAGTGGCTTCATCCCTCGAGCAATAGGATTGCTCAGCTCTCTCAAGGAGTTTAGTTTGTATTCTAATAATCTCGTAGGTTCAATCCCTCATTCTATAGGAAACTTGAGTGATTTAACCCTTTCGTTCCTTCATGACAACAAACTCTTCAGATCTATCCCTCGAGAAGTTGGGATGTTGAGTTCACTTGTTATGCTTGATTTGTCTGCAAACAACCTTGTGGGTTCAATCCCTGTTTCTATAGGTAACTTGAGCAACTTAACAATTCTATACCTTTTTCAAAACCAACTTTTTGGTGCAATCCCTTGCGAAGTTAGGTTGTTAAGGTCTCTCGAAGAGCTAGTTTTGGGGTCTAACTATCTCACAGGTTCTATTCCTACTTCTATAGGGAGCATGGACAACTTAACGATCTTGACCCTTTATGAAAACCAGCTTTCTGGATCAATCCCTCAAGACGTTGGGTTATTAAGGTCACTCAATGAGCTCATTCTGTGATCTAACAATCTTATGGGTTTAATCCCTGCTTCTATAGGAAACTTGAGCAGTTTATCCACCCTAACCCTTTTTGAAAACCACCTTTCTAGATCAATCCCTCGTGAAGTTGGGAACTTGAGCAGTTTATCCACCCTAACCCTTTCTGAAAACCAGCTTTCTGGATCAATCCCTCATGAAGTTGGGTTGTTAATGTCTCTCAGTAAGCTCGCTCTGAATTCTAACAATTTCACGGGTTCAATCCCTCATTCTATAGGGAATTTGGACAACTTAACAATTCTATACTTTATGGCAACCGACTTTCAGAAACAATTCCTAATGAAGTTGGGAATCTAAGGTCTCTCATTGAACTTGATTTGTCAACTAACAATCTTATTAGGTCAATCCCTACATCTATAGGGGACTTGGGCAACTTAAACATTTTGCACCTCTAGGCAAACATGTTCTCAGGATGGATTCCTTTGACTATTGGAAACTTGACCAAGCTCAGTGCGTTAGATTTAGTCGTAAATCAATTATCTGGCTACATTCCTTCAGAGATAGGAAAGTTGAAATTCCATGAGTTTCTTGGGTTGACCAGCAACCACCTCACTGGTCTTACATATTTGAAAATTTTCCATATAGGTTACAACAAACTTACCGGTCATTTGCCAGGACACTTATGCTTTGAAGGTGGATTACTTGCATTGAGTGCAAACAACAACAATTTCATTGGTCCCATCCCAAAAAGTTTGAAAAATTGCCATAGCTTATACAGAGTTAGGCTTGATGGAAACCAATTTTTAGGAAATATATCAAAAGATTTTGGCTTTTACCCAAACTTGATTTACATTGATTTGAGTCATAACAATTTCTACGGCAAGGGGAAAGTGTCATAATTTAACTAGTCTAAAAAATAATATTTCTGGTGAGATACCGCCTGAATTGGTAGAGGCAGCTCAGGTATAAAAACTTGACCTCTCTTCAAATCATCTAGTTGGAGAGATACCAACAAAATTGGGAAGGTTGATTTCATTGTTTGACCTTAAGCTGAATGATAACGAACTCTCGGGTAACATTCCTTAAGTGTTTGGCAAGCCTTCCAATCTAGAGAATCTAACTTGGCAGCAAATAATTTAAGTGGTCCGATCCCTATAGAACTGAGGGAATGCTTGAAACTATTAAGCTTGAATTTGAGCAACAACAGAATTGGGAAAAACATTCCTTTAGAGATAGGCCATTTACAGGGCCTTCAAAGTCTTGATCTTGGTTACAATTTGCTAATAGGTAAGATACCACAACAAATTGGTGAATTACAAAGCTTAGAAACATTGAATCTCTCCCATAATGAGCTCACTGGTTCCATTCCATTATCGTTTGATAATATGTTAAGTTTGACATCAGTAGATGTATCTTTCAATCAGTTGGAGGGTCCTATTCCTAACATGAAAGCTTCCGAGAGGCTCCATTTGAGGCGCTCAGAGGTAATAAAGCTTTTTGTGGTAATGCTATTGGTTTGAAGACTTGCTCGCCTAAAATGAATAATGAGATTGGTAAAAAAAAAACAGAGAAAGTTGTGTTACTAGTTGTCCTCCTTATTTTTGGATTTTTATTGCTTTTCCTAATGGTTCTTGGAATTTTTATGGCTTTTCATAAGAAAGTGAGGAACACAACAAATGAACCAAGACAAGTACATAATCAAAATTTGTTTGCAATTTGGAGCTATGATGGGAAATTGTGTATGAAAACATCATTGAAGTGACTGGGAACTTTAGTACCAAACATCGTGTTGGGGAGGTAGGATGTGGTACTGTAGTGGGCAGGTAGTTGCTGTGAAGAAACTCCATGAATCACCTGACGGTGACTTGACTAATTGAAAAAGCTTTACGAGTGAGATCTGTGCATTAACAGAGATTTGCCATCAAAACATTGTAAAACTTTATGGTTATTGTTCACACCCGAGCAAGGTTTTCAAAAGCGGCCGCAACCGTTACGTAACGGTTGTGGTGGTTACCACCACCCGTTACGGCCGCTTTTGGAGTGTGATTGAGATTCACAGGTGTGTCGGCCGTAGCGGCTGCCATAGCAGTCGTAACGGCCTGTTACGCACCGTTACGTAATGGTTCCGAACTGCTTCTTTCGAAAAAACACACAAAAAAAAAAAAACTAAAAATGGGAGAAGAGGGATAGAGAGAAGAAGGGAGATAAAGAGAGAAGATGGAGGAGCAAGAGATAGAGAGAGAGAAGAGGGAAGATGAAGAACAAGTTATTGATTTGTTAAAGCTATAAGACCCATACTATTCTATTCAGTTGCTATCACTCAACCATTTTGTTTGTGTGTGTCTATCTATATATTGTTTGAAAATAATAATAATAAGTATGGTCATTATCTATTTGGCTTGGTTAAAATATGTATATATATATATATTTAGATTCTTATTTATTCTCTTTTGTCATTGTTTATCTTATATATAATAGTCAGTGATTAATTTTTTCTATAATATAAAGTCATTAATTATTAAAATAAAATGTAAAAAACTCAGTTTATGGTGATTTAAAAATATGAAACATATTGAATGATACTTAAAAATTTACAAAAATTGATCAATATTTATTTTAAACCCAATGAATATGATTACAGAAAAAAAATATGCGTATTGGTAAGTTTTTTTTTCAAATTGTGCGAAAAATAAAAAAATTCACGGTTCCGGTTACTGCAACCGTTACGCTACGACCTTTACACCCCGCAACCGCAACCGCGTCGCCGCCACCGTTACGGCGACCGCAACCGCTTTTCAGAACCTTGCTCCCGAGGCGCTCATTTTTGGTTTATGAGTTCTTGGAAGGGGGAAGCTTGGGAAATATATTGAGCACGGAGGATCAAGTATTACAATTTGATTGGATTAAGAGAGTGAATGTTGTCAAAAGTGTGGCAAATGCTGTGTCTTATATGCACCACGATTGTTCACCTCCAATCATCCATCAAGACATATCAAGCAAGAATGTTTTGCTTGATTTAGAGTATGTGGCTCACATCTCAGATTTCGGCACAGCTAGATTTATGAAGCCTGACTCATCCAATTGGACTTCATTTGCAAGGACCTATGGGTACGCTGCTCTTGGTATGTACTTTTCTATTGCAGTGATTTTATCTCCAAGTCATCCATATAATGTTCATTTTAGTTTATCAATCTTTGTGTATTAAGAGTTTATTATTTGACTTGATTTAAAACGGCTATTGAACTTCTAATTGCTATCTGGATATGGAAACAATTTTTTATATATTTTTTAGTTACTATTTTCTCTGTTGGTCATTTGTTTGATTTGGTAGAGCTTGCTTATACAATGGAAGTGAATGAGAGGTGCGATGTTTTTAGTTTTGGGGTGCTCACACTGGAATTGATTATGGGGAAGCATCCGGGTGATCTAATCTCCTCTTTGTCATCGTCGTCATCCTTCTCCTCATCGACATCAACTGTGCATGGGATATTATTGAAGGATGTGTTGGATCAACGTTTCTTACCTCCTAAGAATAAAGTGGCAGAGCAAGTAGTTATGGTTGCAAAACTATAATTTGCATGTTTACAAAGCAATCCATAGTCTTGGCCAACCATGAGACAAGTTGCCATGAAGCTATCAGATGATCATGTACCAATGAAGATATCAGATGATCAAAGTCCACCTTTGCGAAATCAATTTCACATAATAACTTTAGGACAACTCTTTTGATATCGCCTGCTCGACCTCTTGAGTATTTGCCTTCTATCCTCAGACTATATGCTGTTCTTGTTTTTCATTTTTGACATTTTCTAGTCTATTTTTCTGCTCTTTTTCACTACTAGCATTTAAAAAATTTTAAATAACTAATTTAGAAATATCTATAAGCACAACCCAATAGTTGCAAGCATTTTAAATGAATGGTTCCAATAAAAAATTTCTACTTCTCTATCTTGAATTCATTCAACATTTGAGCGGCTCAGATGATTAAAAATTTAAGAGCTATAAATTCCACATTAGCCTTTTTCTACTCATTCTGTATTCAAAACTTGCTTGCTCTATTCTTAGCAAGTTGTGTGCTAATTTGTTTATTTATTTTTTACAGAGAAATTTGGAGATTCTTGTACAAAGTGGTGTTGTACAATGCTTCAAAGAAAGAGAAATTCACAAGGATGAGGTTTGGATACCAAAGAAGTTAAAAGTGTGTCGTTGAGACCAGAGCATAAGACAACTTGTTTGATTTAGCAACGTGTTTGCCAACTTTTGTGAACAAGTAAGAAGAAATTGAAAAGAAAAATGAACAGCATAGATTTAGATTAGGATTTTTTGTAATAATTTTTTGAGTAATAATCTTACAATGGTAGTTTAAACCTCAAAGTAGAATCATTATTGTAAAATTATTGTACTAAATATTATTTCAGAGAATCATAGGCGGTGTTTGGGAAGGAAATTTTTTGGTTTTTTTTTAATTTTTTTTCACTAAATGACAAATTGGTTACAAAATAAAAAAAAAAAAACAAATCCAAACAAAATATTACATCAAACTCCATAATCATTTCATTTTTTCTCTTACAAACATCACATTCAACTACAAAAAAACCTATCTTTCCAAACACAATTTTTTTTTTCTCCAACATTATCTTATAACTAAAAAAATCTACAAAGAAACTCACTTCCCAAACACTCATATAATTATACAGATTTATACGGTTGGGTATAAATGGATTTCTTTTAATCGGTGAGAATCATTATCATACAGATTTTTGAGGGATCTATCGATCTTCTCAAAACTTAATTGAATCTTCATTTTCAACTTGACAACGAAGCCCTTTTAATAGAAGATGTAGCATTTAAATGACATTCGAACTTAGTCATCAAGGAGTGGGATAGCCTTTAAATGGATTCTTAGAGATGCAGATCAGGTTGCACATTGGTTAGCTACTTATAATATGAAGGACAAGCTCCCTTTTGATTGAGTTGGAACCCTCCTTTTGAGGTTAAGGCTTTTCTAGTTTTAGATTCTCCCTGTAAGCCTTATGGCATTTCCTCGTTTAAAAAAAAAAAAAAAAAGAAACCTAATGCTCTTAGCCATCCAGTCCAAAGCCTTTTTTCATGTAGGTCCTATTTCAGATAATTTGAGATTCAAATCAGCAAATTTGATTGAGGACTTTTTATTTTTACTAGCATTTTTCTGTTTCTTTATTTAAAAATTTATTTTCTCTTTTTCTTGAGTTGAAAATTTACTAATTAAATATTCATGTTCAAGTTTTGCTAACACATATATATATATTTCAAGTGATAATATGAGTAATTCACTTGTTTCAAAATTTATTTTTTTTCAAACTATTCTCGTCTGGTGATTTTAATTTTGAAATTAAATAGAAACTCAAAAATTTATTTGAAAATTTGAACTTATTCAAGTATGATTTGATTTGAAGAAAGTTAGCTAGAGGTAGTGTGTGGATTTTGACTTTTTGATCTTCTGTTTTTCAAACTCAACAGAGAGAATTGACCAGTAAAAGTGAAGATATTTTTCTGAAAAAATCAGCTAAAATTTTCTACTACTGTAGCTTATTTTGAGCTTTCTCTTTTGATGAACCTTTTTTTTTAATGGAAAAAGTGTGTGGCAGGTAGCTGAAATATAATATTTCACTAACATTTTATCTGTCTTTTATTTTTTATTTTCTAAATCTCTTCTTAAATTCATGAATTAAATACAACCTTATACTCTGTTTGGTTTAAGGATTTAGCGAGAGATTTGGAATTGAAAATGGAAACGGTATGTAAAATGTGAATGAAATAAAATTATATTTTACACACTTTTTTTATTTTCTTTTTTTATTCTAATTTATTAACCAAACACATCCTTAGTGTATTCCAAATATTGACAGAAGAAAATTTTGTACGTGGATTATTTATTTAATTCAACCATTAAAGTTTCTTTCAAATGTGAGTACGTTGGGCGAAACTTATGGCTAAATAAATTGTCAAGGTTAGGATGAAGTTACCTACATAATTATATATAATTGTTCATATGATTTAATTTTTTCAATAAATAATATGCTTTAATCAAGTAAATTTTTTCTTCTTTCTTTGTCGATTTTTAACTGAAAAAAATTATAATTAAATTTCAATGTGTTTGGTTGGATTCAATTTATGATTTGTTAAGATCAGATATAAATTAAATTTGGATAGATTTAATAAATTTTTTAATTCTAAATTTTTATTTGGAGAATGAAAAATAATCTTTTTGCCACCAATTTATGGGGAAGAGAAAAATGAAGAATTAATAAGCATGAATAATATAAATATGATGTATGTGGTGAATTCCATTGCCCTAGTGTTTTAGTTGTGGGTTAATAACTTTTTAATATTTGCAATATCAAAATTTAAAAACTTTTTCAAATAGATTCGGTGATTTAATTTTAAATTAATTTATTTTTTTTAATTCAGTTCCATCGGTTTAAATCCATTGGCTTCAACTTTTTAAATTTTTTACGGTATCTACATTTGAATAGATTCATGCCATTGCGAGTACTTAAAGTAAATACATCAAATTATTCTTATGAGATGCTTAAATAATATTTAAATCTAAATGTTGTGGGATTAGGCCATGCGTTGAAACTTTTAAGTTTTAATAATCACAATTTTTTTGTTCTTTTTTTAATGGGTAAGAAATAATTTGCACAAGAAAAGCCACGTGCACGAGATTTATGTTTAGAATTTTAGCTATAAAGATAAATGTGATATACACATTCAAATTATATAAGAAAATGGATAAATTATACTTTGACCCCAACTCATGAAATTATGACAGTCAATCCCTTACACTTCTGGTCAAATCTCACTTTGATTTCTGCACATAAAATTGTAATAGTCAACCTCCTGTACTTTTGGTCAAATCTCACTTTGATCCCTATACAAGTGTCAATTTCCCTTTTCTGTTACTCAGTTGTTTAAATATTTAACAGAATCTAGTCATGTGATAAAACTTCACGAATCACCTGATGATGACTTGACTAATCTAAAAAGCTTTACGAGTGAGATCCATGCGTTAACAGAGATTCGCCATCAAAACATCGTAAAATTTTATGGTTATTGTTCACACCCGACGCACTCATTTTTGGTTATGAGTTCTTGGAAGGGGGAAGCTTGGGAAATATATTGAGCACAGAGGATCAAGTATTACAATTTGATTGGATTAAGAGAGTGAATGTTGTCAAAGGTGTGGCAAATGCTCTGTCTTATATGCACCACGATTGTTCACCTCCAATCATCCATCGAGACATATGAAGCAAGAATGTTTTGCTTGATTTAGAGTATGTGGCTCACATCTCAGATTTCGGCACAGCTAGATTTATGAAGCCTGACTCATCCAATTGGACTTCATTTGCAAGGACCTATGGGTACGCTGCTCCTGGTATGTACTTTTCTATTGCAGTGATTTTATCTCCAAGTCATCCATATAATGTTCATTTTAGTTTATCAATCTTTGTGTATTAAGAGTTTATTATTTGACTTGATTTAAAAGGGCTATTGAACTTCTAATTGCTATCTGGATATGGAAATAATTTTTTATATATTTTTTAGTTACTGTTTTCTCTGTTGGTCATTTGTTTGATTTGGTAGAACTTGCTTATACAATGGAAGTGAATGAGAGGTGCGATGTTTATAGTTTTGGGGTGCTTACACTGGAATTGATTACAGGGAAGCATCTGGGTGATCTAATCTCCTCTTTGTCATCATCGTCATCCTTCTCCTCATCAGCATCAACTGTGCATGGAAGGATGTGTTGGATCAACGTCTCTTACCTCCTAAGAATCAAGTGGCAGAGCAACTAGTTGTGGTTGCGAAACTATCATTTGCATGTTTACAAACCAATCCTTTGTCTCGGCCAACCATGAGACAAGTTGCCATGAAGATATCAGATGATCAAAGTCCACCTTTGCGAAATCAATTTCACATGATAACTTTAGGACAACTTTGATATCGCCTACTCGACCTCTTGAGTATTTGCCTTCTATCCTTAGACTATATGCTATTCTTGTTTTTCATTTTTGACATTTTCTAGTCTATTTTTCTGCTCTTTTTCACTACTAGCATTTAAAAAATTTTAAATAACTAATTTAAAAATATCTATAAGCACAACCCAATAGTTGCAAGCATTTTAAATGAATGGTTCCAATAAAAAATTTCTACTTCTCTATCTTGAATTCATTCAACATTTGAGTGGCTCAGATGATTAAAAATTTAAGAGCTATAAATTCCACATTAGCCTTTTTCTACTCATTCTGTATTCAAAACTTGCTTGCTCTATTCTTAGCAAGTTGTGTGCTAATTTGTTTATTTATTTTTTACAGAGAAATTTGGAGATTCCTGTACAAGTGGTGTTGTACAATGCTTCAAAGAAAGAGAAATTCACAAGGATGAGGTTTGGATACCAAAGAAGTTAAAAGTGTGTCGTTGAGACCAGAGCATAAGACAACTTGTTTGATTTAGCAACGTGTTTGCCAACTTTTGTGAACAAGTAAGAAGAAATTGAAAAGAAAAATGAACAGCATAGATTTAGATTAGGATTTTTTGTAATAATTTTTTGAGTAATAATCTTACAATGGTAGTTTAAACCTCAAAGTAGAATCATTATTGTAAAATTATTGTACTAAATATTATTTCAGAGAATCATAGGCGGTGTTTGGGAAGGAAATTTTTTGGTTTTTTTTTTATTTTTTTTCACTAAATGACAAATTGGTTACAAAATCAAAAAAAAAAAACAAATCCAAACAAAATATTACATCAAACTCCATCATCATTTCATTTTTTCTCTTACAAACATCACATTCAACTACAAAAAAACCTATCTTTCCAAACACAAATTTTTTTTTTCTCCAATATTATCTTATAACTAAAAAAATCTACAAAGAAACTCACTTCCCAATCACTCATATAATTATACAGATTTATACGGTTGGGTATAAATGGATTTCTTTTAATCGGTGAGAATCATTATCATACAGATTTTTGAGGGATCTATCGATCTTCTCAAAACTTAATTGAATCTTCATTTTCAACTTGCCAACGAAGCCCTTTTAATAGAAGATGTAGCATTTAAATGACATTCGAACTTAGTCATCAAGGAGTGGGATAGCCTTTAAATGGATTCTTAGAGATGCAGATCAGGTTGCACATTGGTTAGCTTCTTATAATATGAAGGACAAGCTCCCTTTTGATTGAGTTGGGAACCCTCCTTTTGAGGTTAAGGCTTTTCTAGTTTTAGATTCTCCCTGTAAGCCTTATGGCATTTCCTCGTTTACAAAAAAAAAGAAAAAAGAAAAAGAAACCTAATGCTCTTAGCCATCCAGTCCAAAGCCTTTTTTCATGTAGGTCCTATTCCAGATAATTTGAGATTCAAATCAGCAAATTTGATTGAGGACTTTTTATTTTTACTAACATTTTTCTGTTTCTTTATTTAAAAATTTATTTTCTCTTTTTCTTGAGTTGAAAATTTACTAATTAAATATTCATGTTCAAGTTTTGCTAACACATATATATATATATATTTCAAGTGATAATATGAGTAATTCACTTGTTTCAAAATTTATTTTTTTTCAAACTATCCTCGTCTGGTGATTTTAATTTTGAAATTAAATAGAAACTCAAAAATTTATTTGAAAATTTGAACTTATTCAAGTATGATTTGATTTGAAGAAAGTTAGCTAGAGGTAGTGTGTGGATTTTGACTTTTTGATCTTCTTTTTTTCAAACTCAACGGAGAGAATTGAACCAGTAAAAGTGAAGATATTTTTCTGAAAAAATCAGCTAAAATTTTCTACTACTGTAGCTTATTTTGAGCTCTCTCTTTTGATGAACCTTTTTTTTTAATGGAAAAAGTGTGTGGCAGGTATAAAAATAAATTTTCTAAATCTCTTCTTAAATTCATGAATTAAATACAACCTTATGCTCTGTTTGGTTTAAAGATTTAGTGAGAGATTTGGAATTGAAAATGGAAACGGTATGTAAAATGTGAATGAAATAAAATTATATTTTACACACTTTTTTTATTTTCTTTTTTTATTCTAATTTATTAACCAAACACATCCTTAGTGTATTCCAAATATTGAGAGAAGAAAATTTTGTACGTGGATTATTTATTTAATTCAACCATTAAAGTTTCTTTCAAATATGAGTACGTTGGGCGAAACTTATGGCTAAATAAATTGTCAAGGTTAGGATGAAGTTACCTACATAATTATATATAATTGTTCATATGATTTAATTTTTTCAATAAATAATATGCTTTAATCAAGTAAATTTTTTCTTCTTTCCTTGTCGATTTTTAACTGAAAAAAGTTATAATTAAATTTCAATGTGTTTGGTTGGATTCAATTTATGATTTGTTAAGATCAGATATAAATTAAATTTGGATAGATTTAATAAATTTTTTAATTCTAAATTTTTATTTGGAGAATGAAAAATAATCTTTTTGCCACCAATTTATGGGGAAGAGAAAAATGAAGAATTAATAAGCATGAATAATATAATTATGATGTATGTGGTGAATTCCATTGCCCTAGTGTTTTAGTTGTGGGTTAATAACTTTTTAATATTTGCAATATCAAAATTTAAAAACTTTTTCAAATAGATTCAGTGATTTAATTTTAAATTAATTTATTTTTTTTTAATTCAGTTCCATCGGTTTAAATCCATTGGCTTCAACTTTTTAAATTTTTTACAGTATCTACATTTGAATAGATTCATGCCATTGCAAGTACTTAAAGTAAATACATCAAATTATTCTTATGAGATGCTTAAATAATATTTAAATCTAAATGTTGTGGGATTAGGCCATGCGTTGAAACTTTTAAGTTTTAATAATCACAATTTTTTTGTTCTTTTTTTAATGGGTAAGAAATAATTTGCACAAGAAAAGCCACGTGCACGAGATTTATGTTTAGAATTTTAGCTATAAAGATAAATGTGATATACACATTCAAATTATATAAGAAAATGGATAAATTACACTTTGCATCAAATCTCACTTTGACCCCTACACATGAAATCATGACAGCCAACCTCTTACACTTCTGGTCAAATCCCACTTTGGGAGGCACATGAAATTGTAACAGTCAACCTCCTGTATTTTTGGTCAAATCTCACTTTAATCCGTATACAAGTGTCAATATTCCTTTTCTGTTACTCAATTGTTTAAATATTTAACAGAATCTAGTCATGTGATAAGAATGTGACTACGACATGAGGGTAAGAAAGGAAAATTATCTACATTTTCCAGCATACACACTTCATCACAAAATTTACATCAAAATATGACTGTATTAGGCTAAAACAAAACACAGATTGTGACCAATTAAGAAGATGAATTAGGGTTTTGCATAAATTGGAATTACAAAACTTTGTTTTTACGGTAACACAGTCCTCTGTCTATTCATCTTTCTTTCTCTTTGATTTCTTTGTTGCATTCTTTTTAATTTCAAAAGTTCCAATTTCTTGCCTTTTCGTCTTAATTTTTACTATACGAAAACACACACACACACACACACATAAAGACACATATATATAACTTTATGTGTTTATCACGTAGGACAAATTGTATCGGTGGGAAACATGGATGATTTTTCTCTTTTATCCTCATTTTGTAGTCGTATTTTTGTCACATGATTGGATTTTGTTAAAAATTTTAAATGAAATAACAGAAAAAGGGATATTGACACTTGTGTAGGGACCAAAGTGAGATTTGAGTAAAAGTACTAGGGGTTGATTGTCACGTTTTCATATATAGGGACCAAAGTAAGATTTGGGCAGAAGTGTAGGGGATTGACTGCCATGATTTCATGTATAGGGATAAAGTGAAATTTGGTGCAAAGTACAAGGGCACAAAGTGTAATTTACCCTAAGAAAACTCAACAATATATATATCTAGAAGTTTGTGACAAATTCAACAACTAATTACAATGTCTTTTCCCATGAGAGTCGAATTCATAAAATTAACCACGGATATAGATAATAATAGTGCCAATTGAATCTCATTGAACTACATGAGTATCGATCGGGTTTGAATAATCACAACAGTGACTTCAATTTGAACATTTAGTTACTATTTTCTTGCTCTCTACACACGGAATATTAAGATTGAGAAGTAATTGAAAGTTTGATTGGCCTCAAAAACATTTGCCCATTGTATGTATATCCATCCACAGACATAGACAATTACTAGGCAACATTTATTATTTATATTTCTATGCAAATCTTTTTTAAAATTCATAATTTTAACACCATTAACAACTAAAGTCAAGTCCTCATATTGGACAAGTGTATTTCGTCAAGATTCCTTCCCCTTTTTTCACGAAAAAAGTAGAAGAAAAATTTGCTAAGAGAGAAAGGAAAAGAAAAAGATAACAGTGAAGAAAAAAAAAATTCATTTAGTATTTTTTTCTTTTATTATTTATTATTCTCTGCAAAATCAAAATTTTAACACCGCAATAATGCCTATCACATGAGAAAATGAATTGTAAATAGGACAACTAAAGTCAAGTCTTCTTATTGGACATGTATATTTCATTAAGATTCTTTCATCTTTTCCAAAAAAAAAAAAGTCCTTTCATTTTATGCATAGTAAGGAAACATTTGTCAGAAACAATTACACGCTTAAGTGAAAAAAAATATTTTATTTACTTTTTATTATTCATTATTTTTCTCTATAAATCATGCTTAAAACTCATAATTTTAAAAATAACACATTGCCTATCACATGAAAAAATGAATAGCAAAAAAGACAACTTAAGTCAAGTATTCATACTGAAAAAGTGCATTTCATTAAGATTCCTTCTCTTTTTCTCATAAAAAAGAAAAGAAAAATTTGCAAGAGAAAAAAAAAAGTAAAAAAAAATATATATATTTACTAATTTTTTTTTCTTTCTTCAATTGCTTGTTCTTCTTTGGATAATCCCTCTTAAAATTCATTATTTTAACACCACCATAATGCCTTTAACATGAGAAAATGAATTGTAAATAGGATAACTAAAGTCAAGTTTTAGTATTAGACAAGTGTATTTCATTAAAAACTAGAAATTAGGAAGGAAAGGAAAAGAAAAAGTGAAAAAAAAGAATATTATATTTCATTTATTTATATATTTTTTTATTATTTATTCTTCCTTGCAAAATCTTTCTTAAAATTCAAAATTTTAACACTATCACAGTGCCTATCACATAAAAAAATAAATTATAAATAGGACAATTAAAGTCAAGTCTTCATGTTAGACAAATTGATTACCCTCTATGCATGGTAAAGGAAACATTTGTGGTAAACAATCATATATGGTTAAATTAAAGAGTCCATTTCCATTATCTTTTTATACATTTATTATATGTATGTGTTGGAATTTGCAAATTGTTCTCAATTGATGTGGCCTTGAAGTC